AACAGTTAATAGTTGAATGTGGGTTAGTATGACAGTATAGATCGCCTCGGGACCCCAGACACAACGAGATTTCCTACTCATTTACAGGATATTTTTCACGGACATCATTCAGGGGCTTGGCCCAGAGCAGGAGACCAGAGATTCTCCCACAGTGCTATAGGCCTGTAAGAGGGGTTTGATTGCCACTCCAGAGCAGGCATAAAACATCACATATTTCCCCAGACCCCTTTGCTCACACAAAAGAAAACCTTTAAGCTTCTTGGGAAGAGGCAGTGAACCTTAATTTTTTTCTGGGGAAAGGATAGAAGAAAAATCCCTTTAGTCCTAGAGAAAGAATAGGAAAGGGTTTTAGGTTGAAGATCCTACATTTAAGGTCTCCTACTGAGAGGCAAGAAACTCTTCTGCACAAGCTCTACCACAGGCTCAAGGCAAAGTTGGCTGTTACAGGGAGAAGAAGCAGGAATGCTGAGGATCTCTACATCTCAGGTCCACTAAGAAGGAGCCTGGCCCACAGCGGGGGCTGGACCAGTACAACAAAGCACCTATCCTGTCCTGCCTCAAGCATGAGAAGCAGTGAGTGACAGTCAAAAAGCACCTGCCCCACTGGGTGAACTTAAAGAGACTCACGATGACATGTTATAATCAAACTTTCAAAGTCAAACTTTCAAGTGAGAAAGGATATCATATACTATTAAAAGGTTGAGTACAACAAGGAGATACAATAATTATAAAATGTATGCACCCAATAACAGAGCATCAGATATATGAAGCTGGCATATACTAACTTGGTGAACCTTCAGGACAGTATGCTAAGTGAAATAAGCCAGCTACAAAAGGACAAATATTATATGCTTCTGCTTATGCGAGGTAGTAAGAGTAGGCCAAATCAGAGACAGCAAGGAGAATGGGGGCTGCTAGGTGTTGGGGGAATGGTGAATAGGGAGTTATTGTTTAAAGGGCATAGAGTTTTAGTTTGGAAATATGAAAAAAGTCCTGGAGATGGATGGTGATGATGACTGCACAATATGAATGCACTTAATGTCACTGAACCGTACACTTAAAATGATTAAGATGATAAATTTTATGTTATACATATTGTACCACAGAAATTAAAAAGAGAGAGAATGGGAGGAAAATTGGCAATGACGAATACGGACAATTTTTTAAAGGACTATTGCTATAATAAGGAGCAGAAATGGAGATGGAAATGGGATAAAATGAGTTGTTTCTTGAATACAGGAGAAATTATAGCAAGTTTGAATACTGGTTGGAATGATCCAGTGGAGAGGATGACATAAGACAAAGAGGGAGGCATTCCTGGAGTGAGTCCTTGAGTAGGTGAAAGAGAGTTTGATTTATTGCCAAGTGGAAGAATTAGCCTTAGGTAGCAGTACAAATATTCAGTGTCTAGTAAAGCCAAATAATAATGGTAATATCTATAGCAATACAATAATAAATGACATCGATGGTGTGCACTTGTTGGGTGTTGCCATTATTCAAAGCATTTCATACATAGATACATGTTACCCTTACGGCAGCCATAGGAGATAGTTACCTGTCTGTGCCCCTTTTACAAACAAGGAAACTGAGGCACAAAGAGGTGAAGTAGATTGCTTAGTGATGCAGTTAGACAGTCTGGCTCCAGAGTCTGTTTACCAACAGGATAGGCACAGTTATAATTTTGGTTAGGAAACTGAGGCTCAGACAGGTCCATGAACTGACCCAAGGTCACATAGCCATTCAATGTGGGGCTGGGTATATTGGATCCCAAAGACAAATCCCTTTCTAGGGCCCCATGTTTCCCTACTTCTGAGAAACAATGCTAGCCTAGGTCAGACACTAACTTACAACAGCTCTCTAGTTTTGTTGGTGTGGCAATAACACCAGAAAGCCTGAGTACACACCCTCTCTCCACCCCTTATCCGCTGTGTGTGCCTGGATGGTTTCCTTGATTTCTAAGTGTCTCCCATTTTTGTTTTTAAATATTTTATTTATTTATTTGACAGTGAGAGAGGGAACACACAAGCAAGGGGAGTGGGAGAGGGAGAAGCAGGCTTCCCATGGAGCAGGGAGCCCAATGCGGGGCTCGATCCCAGGACCCTGGGACCATGACCCGAGCCGAAGGCAGATGCCTAATGACTGAGCCACCCAGGCGCCCTGCGTCTCCCATTTTTTATCTTAAAATGAAAACAGTAATACTTCCTATGGTTCTTGTGAGGATTAAATGATTTATAAGAGTCTTCTGCACACAGTATGCCATCTATGTCTTAGCTACTATTCGAAATTTTATGCTATGCATTTCCAAAGACCATAATTAATTATCTCACTCATGCAATGCATTGTCAGCAGAAGCTTATTGAATTCTTAGTAGTTATAGTGCCTTGTGCTAGGACACATGGGATACAGAAATGAGTTAAACAGTGCTATATTTAAACACACACACACACACACACACAAGCATATGTAAACAGAACCATATCATTTTCAATTTGGAAAGGACAATTTTGAATCACCAACTCCAAGCTCTCTGTCTCTCCCTATCTTAACGAATTCCTGATGCCTGACTGGACAAGTGAATCAAAACTGTCACAGTCAGGGTTGAACCTCCCACACTGCAAGTACAAGCCCAGTCCACGATAGGTATTTAATAAATGTTTGTTTAGAGAAGAGGTTTGAAAGGAATGTAAGTAACAGTCCTGAATGGTAGAATGATCGGCGTGCCACAGGAAGAACTGGCTGCGATGTGCTTCACGCTCCAGCTGAGCATTCCAGCATCCCTAAATCCATGCTGAGCACTGAGCCTATCTGGACATTGGCGATGCCGATGCCAATAAGGAAATGTCAGACAGGGAGGGAGACACTCATTATTTCCAGAAAACTGCATGGATGCAGGGTCTGAAAGATGCATCATGAGCCACTAAAGAGCCTTTTGTTATCGACTGTTCACAGGCAACTGCTTGTCATCTGGCTTCTGACAAGAGAATATAATTTTCTAAAGTGGAATCATTCTCCTAGGTAAATGTATCTTGTGCTCTCTTCCACTTTGATGGGACTGACATATTTGGTGTTGGATGCCTTCAATGTGAAGATTTATCATTTAAGAACACTGACTCAATCCCAGCTGCTTGGGGGAAATTACCCGAAATGCAGGATTCCCAATAAAAGATCAGGAGCTTATTTCTGATCCATAGACTCAAGATTTCGATTCCGTAAAAGTGACAAATGTTTCAGGCTCCCAGAAAGAGCGAAGCCCTAATTATGAGATACATAATATATTCCAAATTAGAGAAGCACAAACATGAGCCACTCTGAAAGGCATTTGAGTGGTTTGAAAAGAGATCAGGTGTGTTAATTCCTCACTCCACGTGGGCAGTGTATGTCCCTTTACTTCTATCAGTTGTGACCTATAGCATCCTGAAAAATGTGTCTCTCTGCGCCATGTGGGTAACCACACCACTTAATTATTCTGTTATGGTGAAAGGAAACACAGAGAATGTTGTTTCTGGGCTTTTCATCTTTTGCTCTTCTAACCTCAAAAGAGCATTAAAGAGATGGGAGCTTTCAGGCAGCCGATTTCATTAAGAAAATTAATTCAGTGATGCAGGGAGCTTTCACCATTTGGGCTTTTACCATTTGTTGCTATGATGGATACCTTAGGACCAGATTCGAGTGCTGGAGGCAGTTTTGTGTGAGGAAGATTTGATACTGTTTTATCATGCAGAATTTTGAGCAGTGGTTCTCAGCCCTGGCAATACATTAGAATCATTTGGCAATTTTTAAAAACATACCAAAACTTCATAGACTCTGATTTAATTAGTTTGAGGTACAGTCTGGGTACTGGTATTTTTAAAAGGCACCCCAGATGATTTGTATTTACAGACATTGTTAAGAATCACTGCCCAGTGTAGGATTCTCCAAGTCAATGTTGAGCAATCAGCAAGAAGAATCTTGAATAATTAGAATATATCTAATAGAAGCTGAGTCTTCTTCTTGGCTCTAGATCCAAATGGACACAAATGCTGTGATTCCAGCTTCTGAAGGTGACCCTATATTTTGGATTCTAGCAACGTCTTACTTTCCTTTGTCCTTTTAGGTGGAAGGAAGTAGAGGTCTGCAGGCCACTAATCTTGGGCTCCTTCATCTGACCCCATTGGTATCTCAGCTCTTGCATCATCTGGTTAAATTACCTTTGTTTTAAATGCTTTGGGAGAATTCTGCTTTACAGGGTGGACTCTGATGGATAGATCTCCCATCTTTAGACAATTCCTGCCCAAACACTATATTCCTTTTAAATGAGGGTCATATTTCTCTGGTCTTGAAATGTAGCAATACTTGTTTCTATTTCCTCTTCTCATATTTTGCATGGATCTCTCCTAGTCAAGCTTTCATCTTCACCAGTCCAACCAAACTGGTCTCATAGTATCAATTGTGAAACATGATAGATAATTCTCAGTCATCATCTTCCTTGGCTTCTTAGCAGCATTTGACAAAGTTGATTGTTTTCTCTTTTGGAAAAGTTTTTACCACTTGGTTTATGGGGTTCCTTTTTTTCTTTTCTTTTTTTTTTAAGATTTTATTTATTCATTTGAGAGAGAGAGAGTGAGAGAGAGAGAGAGAGAGAGAGAAAGAGAGAGAACGAGCCAGGGGAGGGGCAGAGGGAGAGGGAGGAGCAGGCTCCCTGCTGAGCAGGGAGCCAGATGTGGGGCTTGATCACAGGACCCTGGTATCATGACCTGAGCCGAAGGCACACGCTTAACCTACTGAGCCACCCAGGTGTCCCAGGTTCTTCTTTTTCTATTTGTTACTCCATCTTAGTCCCTTTTTCTGGATCCTTTTGACCTTCCTGAACTCTAAATAGAGTCGGGGTACCAAAGTCCTTGATTCTACCAACAATGCCAGCTGAAGCAGAGGGCCTGGAGAAGCGTTTTGGTTCTCATTCCTCTTGTCCTACAATCCTCCATTTTTCTCTCATTGGCCAAACCCAGCACAGGCCAGCTCACCTGTGAGCATGGGATATGCAGCCCATCGGGGCCAGACCCTGCAGAACCAGGGAGGCCGCCATTTTTCTCTCATTGGCCAAACCCAGCACAGGCCAGCTCACCTGTGAGCATGGGATATGCAGCCCATCCGGGCCAGACCCTGCAGAACCAGGGAGGCCGAGGGAGTGGATATGAGATGGGAAATGTTATTGTACATCTGTTACTTCTAGGAATGATCAATAGAAAGGGACAGATTGACAAAGCAGAAGAAAGAGAACAGGGAGGAAGGGTGGTATGTTAGGAACTAGAGGTGTGTTTACCTCTCTCCCTCCCAAACCGCCTCTTTTCCATCTTGGTAAAGGGCATCACTGCACACCTTGCTGCCTAGACACCAGATATGTGAGTCTCTTTCCCCCACATCCACAACCCTCTGATCCATCAGCGAGCCCTATCAGCTCCAGCTGGTAATGCAGCTTAAATCCACACATATCTCTTTATCTCCTTGTTAGGTTTAGCCCGTTATCTCCTCCTGCCAGATTATACCAATGGCTTTTTATAAGGTCTCAGCTTTCATTGTATTGCCCTGAAGCACTTGCTTACATAGAAGCCAGGGGCTTCTTTTTTAAAATCTACGAAGGTTTTGTTACTCTCTCGCTTGAAACCCTTAGCCTTGGGCCCATAGCCCCTGCCCATGTGGACTGTGTCCTGACTAACTGTGGGGACTAGGAATCGTGCCTCTGTCATTAAGCAATGTAGAGGCCCTGCTGAGAGCACACACACTAAAACGCTAAAATGTCAAATACGTAGCACCTGGGTAGCTCAGTGGTTAAGCCTCTGACTCTTGATTTTGGCTCAGGTAGTGATCTTGGGGTCCTCAGGTCTATCCCCACATTGGGCTCTGCGTTCACTGGGGAGTCTGCTTATCCCTCTCCCTCTGGTCCTCTGACTCGCTCTCTCTCTTTCTCACGAATAAATTAATTAATTTTTTAAAGATTTTATTTATTTATTTGAGAGAGTAATTGAGAGAGAGAAGGAGCAGGAGGAACGGGGAGCAAGAAGCATACTACCTGCTGAGCAGGGAGCCCGATGCGGGACTCGATCCCGGGACCCTGGGATCATGACCTGAGCCGAAGGCAGACACTCAACCGAGTGAGCCACCCAGGCACCCTAATTAAATCCTTTTTTTTAAAAAAGACAAATACATGATTGTGGTCTCTAGAACCCTGCAAAGTTAGTCTGACCTGCTTCTTGGGCTCATCGCTTATCAATCTCCACCTGGATCACTACACAATAGCCATACTTGTCTTTCTTTTCTTGATCACACCCTGCTTATTTGAACCCTGGGGAGTTTGCATTTTCTGTGCCTTTAACCCAGATGTCCTTCACCCAAACCCGTGGGTACCTTGTCTCCATATTTTATTCAGGCCTCGTCTCAGAAGTTATCTCCCCATAGAGACCTTCCATGCCCACCTGTATAAAATACCACCCTCTGCCTGAAGTTAGTCTTCTTTAAAATTTGGTTTGCTGGGGCAGCTGGGTGGCTCAGTCAGTTAAGTGTCTGCTTTCAGCTCAGGTCATGATCCCAGGGTTGTGGGATCGAGTCCCTCATCGGGGTCCCTGCTCAGAAAGAGGCCTGCTTCTGCCTCTGCCTCCTGCTTCCCCTGCTTGTGCTGTCAAATAAGTAAATAAAATCTTAAAAATTTTTTTTTGGTTTGCTTTCCTTCTTACAGAATTTATCTAACTGAAATTATATATTTAGGGCATATTGCCCCACTTTCCCTCTAAAATCGGAGCAAATAGCTATCTTGAGCTCTGCTATGATCACAGTAACACAAAGTGTCTGGCCCATAGTAGGAGCTTAATACATTCTTGAGTAAATAAAAGGAAAAAACAAAAAAGCAAAACAATGAATGAATTGTGGGAATTTGCTCTTGCCAGAGCTGAAAGCGTCCCTATGTAAACGCCTGAAACTCTACTAATGCAGTTACTTCTGACTACTGTATAAATCTCAGAATGTCAGAATGTTGCTAAATTCCATGCAAAAGTCAGAAGTGACTTTCTGCCAAGCCCCATCTCACACATGGGTCCCCAAAGAGTTTTTATTTTGATCAGTGTTCTCTGTGTTCCCCTAAATAACCTCTCTAGGTGCCAGCCCCAGACACAGATGCTCACTGCGTCTCACATGGAAATTATTCCATCCACTTTCTGCCCTGCCTTGAATCAAAGAGACTTGAACCCTGTCCAAGGGGCCAGGCCGAAGCAATCACCATGCCATCAACTGGCTTTCTCACCTTGTCTCTAACTGTACTCACTAAGCTTCCAAGTCAGAGGCTCTTTGGCATATCAACATCAATGGAAGAAACAATTCCAAGCATAGAGAGGAGGTTGTGCTATTTAAGAATGCAGCATCAGATCCCCAGCAGAACCAACCAACTTTTTCTGTACCAGTTAAAAACATCTTAAGAAATACAGGTCATACAAAGGCAAGTTACATTGAAGTGTGTATGACAAAATGATAGGCTATCTGAGATTTGCTTTAAAATTACACAGTGGATGTAGGGAGAAGGCTGGGAGACAAGATTGGCCAACAGTTGCTATTTTGCATCTCAGTGATGGGTACCTGAATGCACCCATGTGTACTCTTTTCTACACATTTATGATTTAATTCTTCCACAATGAATATCCAAAAGAAAGAAAGAAACAGACGAAAGAAAGTACAGATTTAGCATCAGCAGAATACCAAACACCTTGCAGCTTTGCTTGTAAATTAGAGTTGTCTGCTGTTATATTTCTAAGTGAAAACCCACAGCAAATACACAGATTCCAAATCAAAGACTAAACCTTCTCTCCCCTTTGATGAGTGCTTCTCCCTTGAGACACAAGTTCTCATTTCTAAATGAAATGGCATCCAAAGGTATCCAGTCTATCTTTTTGTTGACCTCTTCAAGACAGGGCTTCCAAATATATCGACTCCTTCTGAGGTGTTTTTGGTGTCCAAAGAGGCTGAGTGAAAGAGGCAGACCAGGCCACATAAGATCGACTTGGCAAAATCCTCCTATGGAGGGTGCTTTTGCTGCCATCACATCTGATACCAACTGCTTCAAGAAGAGGGTCATTGGCAGCAATAGCTGCACACTCTGGTGCTCATGGAATCTTCCACAAGCAGAGTGAATAGGTTCATTCTTACCATTTGTGGTCCTAGATTTTAGTGGCTAGATTTTGTATGAAACTTAGAGAAAAATGGCTTTCTAAAGTGCAATGCATCAACCTTTCCCTTTGATATTCTTTTCTGAATAGGAGGCACTCACCCATCTGGCCACCTGCCCAAGCACAGCCCCATTAAGCTTGACCTTTGGGTTGTCCAGAGTGGTTCTTTTCTACTTTCACCCAAAGTCCACCTACTGTTCCTCATCAATTTATGAGTAAAAAAAAAAAAAAAAAATCAGGCAGCTAGAGTAAGCTGTTTTTTAGCTGTCTCTTATCAGAAAGCTTCTGCCCTTGCTAGAATTTCTTCCGGTTTTGACAATTAAAAAAATCCTTTCTTAAGTGTCCTTTCTTCCTGCTGATGTTTCTGACCCCAAACAAGGGAGAGCGTTGCAATCAACACTTGAAACTCTTTGTTCTTTGGACTCCAGAGTGAGCACTCTTGAAGGAATCCTTTTAAGCTGCAGCAAACTCTGTATCATGGGTGATTTTTCGCTAGGTCTGCCTAAGTTTATAAACCACAGGGAAACCTTCTGGCAGAGGAACCAAGGGCTCAAGCTTGAGCAAGCTAATTACTCCATTCTGAAACAGGCCAGGTTGGCCTGAGGCAAAGTTGTGAGCACTTGGCATCTGTCAGTTCATCACCTAGATTTTCTTTCCTTCCTGCTCCTTATTCTTGCTTTTTTATTATTGATTTCCCTGCCAGGTGCCCAGTACTTCTATGCTGTTCCATTTTCCCCACACTTAAGAATTTATTCTGAAATATTACATATTTTAATGTTAGTTTCTTACTCCTCTCAGGTGAATTTGAAAGAGATGAGGCCCAAAGGAATGGATGGTGGAATTTCAGAGCTGAGGGCACTCTGTAAAGGTGGACTTTTCCTTTTGGTGAACTCGGCCAGTCAAGTGTCTAAGAAATGTCACTGAATGAGAAATCTTGGAGATGTGATTTCTAGTCTTTATTCTGTTAATAATTAGCTTGGTGGTTGCAGAGAATCGATCTACCTGTCTAGACCTCTGTCTTTACTTGCATAAAATGAAACAGTTGGTCTGGAGCTCTAATGTCCCTGATACTAGCATCACACCTGCACATAGTAAGCATGCCTCCAAATGTGTGCTGACTGAAAGCAGGGAAACTACTCTCAGCTTTACCATACTGTGATAATCAGTACATCTTGAAAGCAATGCTCTACCTCTGTGTCTATCTAGGCCTGCCACTTGACCAATGTCCTTGCAAATTCCGTTTGCTTGGTGAAAAGCTTATAGGAGATAAGATTACATTTTCAGGTAGTTCAAATTCTTAAAGAGAACGTTCAAAGGGAGCTTGCGTCTGAAAGGTGTAATCCGTGCTTCTAATAGATGGTTTGTTCAAGGTTTGTGTACAGCACGGTATAGGTCCATAAAAGTAGCAAGTTTAGGTGAATTATGGCATATAAGTAATAAGGGATATACAGTATAAAGTGATAAAGAAAAGCCATATATATAGCATATCATCCATGATCTATGTGCTTTAAAGTTTCGGATCTTTCACTGAGAAGGTTGGTGGGTGTTCCCACAAGGCATTTCTTAGAAGGGTTGTGTTCTCAGGAATATTATAGGAAATATATCAACAATGCCAACTTCCTGTGGATTTTTAGGCATTGGGAATCATGTTGGCTAGAATACATTGTTTCCTTGCACACCATATTCATATTCATGTATTCATTTATTCAATAGGTTCTCATTTGAAGATGTATTAAGTGCCAATTACTCTGAGTTACAGGGGCTATAAATATGAAGAAAATATAGTCCTTATTACTGACAGTCTCATAGTACAGTGGATAGATGGATAGGTAAACATAATTACATCATTGTAGTAAGTATTATGATAGTTACTTTG